TCGACCTCTTCGCTCACTAATCTGGGCGTGATAATGGACCCTTCCCTGAAATTTAACAATCATGTAAACATGATTGTTAAATCATGTTTCTTCCAACTGAGGTGGCTGTCTAAACTGAAGCCCATATTGTCCCAAAATAACCTGGAGACAGTAATACATGCATAATTACATCTAGGCTTGATTACTGCAATTCGCTCCTGTTTGGTATCAGTCAGACCTCCATAGCACGACTACAACTGGTCCAGAATGCAGCAGCCCGATTTTTAACCAGTACAGGCAAAAGAGAGCACATTACACCAGTTTTGGCCTCCCTGCACTGGTTACCGGTTCACTTTCGAATCCAGTTCAAAATACTCATGTATGTCTACAAATCGCTGAACAGTTTCGCCCCCCACCTTATCTCTCTGATCTGCTACAACCGTATGTCCCACCATATTCCCTGAGGTCAGCGGACCAGTTGCTCCTCACAGTTCCAGGAACTCGTCTTAAGCGCAGAGGTGACAGGGCCTTCTCTGTAGCAGGACCAAGACTTTGGAACGAGTTACCTCTGCTTGTCAGACAGGCCCCCTCCCTCTCGGTTTTCAAGTCCTGTTTAAAAACTCACTACTATTCAGTAGCTTTCAACACCAGATGATCTGTGTTTTGATCCTGTATGCTCCACACTGGTTTGTCGTCATTATCTGCATCGTTTTTATGTCTATATTCTGATTTACCTCATTTTGTATTTTACTTTGTGTGTTACCTGTTGTTCTGTCTGTACAGCACTTTGGTTGGCCTTGTCACTGTTTTAAGTGCTCTATAAATAAAATGGTATGGTAACATTGACTGCACTGATATTTGGGAGAATGGAATCTCTAGGTTTGTTCACCACAGAGTCACTGAAGGGCTACGAGCCATCTCTCTTGTACACCCCCACCCCTGCCTCCAGATTAAAATCAGTCAGTCGTGATCATGCCAACACGCGACCTTCCCTGTAGTTGTCCTGTGGACAGATTGTCCCATCTGAGTTTAGGATTTCTACAGCACCTCCAGAGTTACCATGTGCTGCTTCTCAGATTAATGCTTCCTTTCTCGGTCTGTCAGTCCAGGTGGACAATCATAATAATAATTAATTTAATTTGTAACGCACTTTTCATTAACAAAAATCTCAAAGTGCTACAGAGTGCAACTAAAATCAAAGATAAAATCAACTAAAATCTGTAAAATCGATCATCTCATGGTAGATTTACAGATGGACCGTTCTCTTTCCATTTTCAGATAAAGAACTGAACAGCAGCTCTGTGAAGCTTGTAGATTGTTTTATAACCTTACTCTGCTTTAAACTTCTCAACAACCATGTCCTTGACCTGTCTGCTGTGTTCCTTGGGCTTCGTGATGCTGTTGGATCAAAAATGGTCTGGAACTAACCTCTGAGGCTCACACAACAGCTGGTTTTATACAAAGATTAAATCTCACACAGGTGGACTCTGTTTACTTTTGAAGGCAATCGGTTGCTTTTGAATTTAGTTCAGGGATCAAAGTAAAGGGGGTGAATACTAATGCATGCCACACTTTTCTGATTTTTATTTGTAAAAAAAAACCTCTTATTTCTTCTCACAGTTAAGCTCTGCTTTGTTTTAGTCCGTCAAAATCTCAGTGAAATCCTCTGATTTGTGGTTGAACAAGACAAAATGTGGGATAGTTCAGGAGGTGAAAACTTTTTCATGGAACTGTGAGTTTTATAGGCAGGCAGCACAGTGGAGAAGTGGTTGAAGCTGTCACCTTTCAGCAAGAAAGTCACAGGATCACCTCCTGCCAGAGGTCTTTCTGGGTGCATTTCATCCGGTTACTCCAGTTTCCTCCCACAGACCAAAACCATGCATGTTACACTGATTGGAAACTCTAAATTGTCCCTAGTTGAGAGAGAGAGAGAGTATGAATGATTATCTCTATCTGACTGTGGTGGACTGGACACCTGTCATGGTTGTCCCCTGCCTCAAGACTGTTGGAGATAGACACCAGCTCTCCATGACCCAGAGACGAGAAAGCGGGTAAAGCCTATTCATGGATGGATGTTGGGTTTTGTACAACTAGATTAAGTTGTTGTATATAAAAGCTTTGTGTCATATTTGATTGTCTACATACTAACATTTTTTTCTGACACTCTAAGCAACAGTTGCTTTTATGATTCTTGTAACCAGTGTTTTCTTTCTTCCTTTCTGTGATCCTGTGTGTAGTGTGTAACTGTGGTTCAAGGTTATGTGAGCCCATTACTGGGGATTGTATCTGTCCTCCGAGGACGCTGCTCCCTGAGTGCACTCAGTGTGAGCCTCAGACATTCGGCTGCCACCCAGTAGTGGGCTGTGAGGTCTGCAACTGCTCCTGGACTGGAGTGATCTCCTCTGATGTCAGCTGTGACACGTTCAATGGACAGTGCAGGTACTTCAACACAAAGGAAGCAACCATAAAACAAATTGTCAGCTGTAGTTACCATGAGAAAACCACTCTTATTCACGTTTATTTTTTTCCAATTTCAAATGGGTTAGTTTCATTATGAATTTTGGTTTAGCTAAATGTATACGTAAAAGTTAAGTTTATAGATGGATGCATGACTGAATGAATGGACAGATGGCTGGATGGATGGAAGGATGAATATGTTGTGTTTCTGACCACAGAGGACAGTCATTAACTGGACAGTAATTGACCAATGAAACACAAGTTAAAGGAAGTTTAGTTGAAACCAAACTGCTAGCACTAATGTGACAGTGGAGGGACGTTCATGGAATAACAATTTTCTGAGTTAGTGCGGTCCACTTTAGGGGGGTCTGAAACCATTATATCAGGTTCATACATGTTTAAATATGAAAAATCTAGTTTAACTTATCACATAACTAATAATATAGAATTTAGACATTCCACCCCCCCCCCCCCCCCCCCCCCTACCACCACCACCACCCCCCCACAAACACACACACACACACACACCCGGCCACTTCCAGCCTGTTGTTTTTACGTTTTTGGAGTTGATTGTTGGTTATGTACTGTAACCCCAAATTCTATGATTATAGACGTAGCCCATTAAGGCTGTCGCTAGTGGAATTGTTCCCGCGCGCACAGTGCAGCAGTGAAAACTTTTGTCCTTGCTCACCTGCTGTGTGGGCCCCAACCCTGGTCAGTATAAATTGCCCATGAAACTGGGGTTTGGCTCCCAAAATAGTGTTCTTTTCTTCAGCCATTCAGGAGCCAGTGAGGCCCAGATCTTAAAGGGCTATGTCTATACTCATAGAATCTGGGGTTACAGTATGTAACTAATGTCCTACAGGTCCTTTTCAAAAAATTATCATATTGTGATAAAGGTCATTATTTTCCATAATGTAATGATAAAAATGAAACCTTCATATATTTCAGATTCATTGCACACCAACTGAAATATTTCAGGTCTTTAATTGTTTTAATACTGATGATTATGGCATACAGCTCATGAAAACCCAAAATGCCTGTCCCAAAAAATTAGCATATTTCATCCCACCAATGAAAGACAAGCGTTTTTAATACAAAAAACGCCAACCTTCAAATAATCATGTTCAGTTATGCACTCAATACTTGGTCGGGAATCCTTTTGCATGAATGACAGCTTCAATGCGGCGTGGCATGGAGGCAATCAGCCTGTGGCACTGCTGAGGTGTTATGGAGGCCCAGGATGCTTCGATAGCGGCCTTAAGCTCATCCAGAGTGTTGGGTCTTGCGTCTCTCAACTTTCTCTTCACAATATCCCACAGGTTCTCTATGGGGTTCAGGTCAGGAGAGTTGGCAGGCCAATTGAGCACAGTAATACCATGGTCAGTAAACCATTTACCAGTGGTTTTGGCACTGTGAGCAGGTGCCAGGTTGTGCTGAAAAATGAAATATTCATCTCTATAAAGATTTTCAGCAGATGGAAGCATGAAGTGCTCCAAAATCTCCTGATAGCTAGCTGCATTGACCCTGCCCTTGATAAAACACAGTGGACCAACACCAGCAGATGACATGGCACCCCAGACCATCACTGACTGTGGGTGCTTCACACTGGACTTCTGGCATTTTGACATTTCCTTCTCTCCAGTCTTCCTCCAGACTCTGGCACCTTGATTTCCGAAAGACATGCAAAATTTGCTTTCATCTGAAAAAAGTACTTTGGACCACTGAGCAACAGTCCAGTGCTGCTTCTCTGTAGCCCAGGTCAGGCGCTTCTGCCGCTGTTTCTGGTACAAAAGTGTCTTGACCTGGGGAATGCGGCACCTGTAGCCCATTTCCTGCACACGCCTGTGCACGGTGGCTCTGGATGTTTCTACTCCAGACTCAGTCCACTGCTTCCGCAGGTCCCCCAAGGTCTGAAATCGGCCCTTCTCCACAATCCTCCTCAGGGTCCGGTCACCTCTTCTCGTTGTGCAGCATTTTCTGCCACACTTTTCCCTTCCCACAGACTTCCCACTGAGGTGCCTTGATGCAGCACTCTGGGAACAGCCTATTCGTTCAGCAATTTCATTCTGTGTCTTACCCTCTTGCTTGAGGGTGTCAATGATGGCCTTCTGGACAGCAGTCAGGTCGGCAGTCTTACCCATGATTGCGGTTTTGAGTAATGAACAAGGCTGGGAGTTTTTAAAAGCCTCAGGAATCTTTTGCAGGTGTTTAGAGTTACGTCGTTGATTCAGATGGTTAGGTTAATAGCTTGTTTAGAGAACCTTTTCATGATATGCTCATTTTTTGGGACAGGCATTTTGGGTTTTCATGAGCTGTATGCCATAATCATCAGTATTAAAACAATTAAAGACCTGAAATATTTCAGTTGGTGTGCAATGAATCTGAAATATATGAAAGTTTCATTTTTATCATTGCATTATGGAAAATAATGACCTTTATCACAATATGCAAATTTTTTGAGAAGGACCTGTATTTCGTATAGGCTTTGCCCTTTAAGGCTGTCACTAGTGGGTTAAAGGCAAAGCAGGATGAGTCTATGCCTCACTGAGTCTGTCTGGAACCACAATCACACAGATATCTGCTTATATATGGGTCATTCCTACTATTCAGTGTCATTTGACCATGGTAACTTAAAAAAAAAAAGTTTTTTTTTTTTTTTTCTTTCTTGATTTTATTATTTAATCTGATGAAGGGCTTGGTAGACTATAAGGAAATGGTGTTGGTTAAGCTCAGGATATCATGCTGTTCTAGTTTGTATCAATTTCTTTGCACAAGACAAGGATAAAATGTCCACCCTGTTACAGGACATGCTCATCTGGAATTAGTTAGTGTTTTGAAAGTTTAATTATTTACGGTTTACACTTTCCAAAAGCTGACCCATCCCTAACTTTGCCTTTTAAATGCATTTTTAAATACAGTATTCATAAACTAACATTATCTTGAGAAGAAGCTTGCGCTTATGAAGTAACAATTTAATTTCAACCCATCCCTTTAAGAACAAAACATCATTTCAATTAAGCTTTGCTCCAATTTTTTTGATTGATTTATTCAATTTATTCACTGTCAGTATTCACAAAACAAAGCAAAATCCATGTTGTTTTGATAAAAAAAAAACACAGGTAACAGACAAAGGAGAAACAGTGGGGACAGGATGTAACAGGGTGGACATCATACCAAAGAACAGCATAACATTTAATTAAAATAAGGCAGTTCTCAAAAACATCTCAATAGGAGAAATATGTTCACATTAAACCTCACCATCCAATGTCGTGCACCCCCAAAATAAAAATCGCAAATAATTTTAATTTCTAATTTCAGAGAGTTATCAAACCCAGTGACGGAAATGTTTTTCCAAAAAATTCCACACATTATTTTCCAACTGGACAGACCTTTTGTTTAGGTATTGTGGCTCTCTCATTAGGCACGCAATCTGGTCATCTCTGTACCAGCAAATGTCCTCTCGTGGACTTGGGCCCAGGAAGATGCAGCTGCGGCCATGGAGAGTCTTTGAAGCTGTCGCTGATGTCGGTGCTCCTGCCATCGGCCAGGTGCTCAGGGAGGGTGGGGGGATCCAAAAGAGGTTGAACCACATGCCTTCGGACCTGCTCCAGGGCATCTGAGAATTATTGCAGCTGATCCAGCACCAACTGGAAGTGGGAGCTGAACAATCTGTCCAGACTGATGGGTCCCTCCAGCATTTTTCTTTTTATCTCCTCTGGAATGGATGAAGAGAGGCGAAGCCACATTTGGCGCTGCAGCACCGTCGTCCATGTCATGACGTGGGCAGCACAGATGGCCTGAGCTGTGCATACATTTAAAATGGTGTCTACAGTGTTGCAAAGCGCGTCCTGCTCTTCTGGCGGGAGGTTCAGCTCTTTAGTACCTTTGGAAATGCTAAACGCTAGCATAGCCATGTTGTTGGTCGCTACAGCTGCCTGAGACGCACACAGATGTATTCTGTCAGTGAGTTTGGCAGTGAGTTGGTCACCGGAGGATGGAGGGACAGGACGAGACGTCGCCTGACATGCCGAGCCTCTCTAACCCTGAAAACAGCCATCTGGCTGGGTTCCAGAGGAGGAACAGGTGGAAAACCTTTATCAGTGGGCCCCTCTACCTTCGTGATGGGCGTGTAGGTGGAGACCGGTGCTTTCAGCTTCAGCGGGTCGATGGCTGCTCCCAACAGATATGCTGACACCGAAGCCAGACTGGGTCTCTGTGGCTGGAGTGTGGGCGGTAAACTTTCCTGTCAAGTCATCTGGAGTTATGGGAGCTGACGGCTCTGGCACAGTCAGGTCCTTGGTGTTCGCCACCTTCTGAATAATGTCAGGCAGAGCATAGATGAGCACGCCAATCGTCGGGAGTGAGGTAGTTGCTGACATTGGGATGCCCGAGAAACCACCTGTCGGCGGCAGCTCCATCTCCAGCCCTGTTGTCTGGGAGGGGAGCACAAAGCTGCTGACTGTCTCCTTGTCGGAGGCAGAAATGTCCGAATCTTGCCTTGCGTCGGGAAAATTGAGGACCTTGTCCAGCGGGTAGCTCTTTAGAAGCTGGGAAGATTCCTCGCCTGAAAAAAAGATGGCCACCTGGCATTGTTTGTCTTTGAGCAGGAGAAGCTTGTAGGAGGGGCAGGAAGCTTGTGGTGCCAGAGCTTGATCTGCGTGTTCTGCTCCGAGGCAGCCCTCGCAGATGGCATGGCATGCGGGTCGGAGCTGAGGATGTATCCCGGCCTACAGACTGAGCAAAGGCGAATCACTCCGGTGGTCATCATCTTCTGCTCTTTAAGGTTTTTTTAGGCTGCTTGTTGACTGAAAATAAAGGAGAGCTGAACCCCGGTCTCAGGGATTTACACTGACCGGGGGTGGGGCCCACACAGAAGGCGGGCGTGGACTAAAGTTTTCCCTGCTGCGCTGCGCGCGGGGATAAACCCACTAGCGACAGACTTAAAGGGCGAAGCCTATACAAAATAAAATAACATTTTACTTGGAAGGATCAGACTCTCTCTTTCCCCTCTGTAATTTAAATCATGACCATTCAGGGAGTTTACAGTCTGATGGACAGGGTAAAATATTATTATTGATCGGCCTGCTGTGATTTTATTCTTACACATTATTTGATCAGGCTTTTTGCTGAATCATTAACAGATAACTATTTTTCCCAGATGTAAGAACAACGTTGTTGGTCGCCAATGTGACCACTGTGCCCCTGGTTTCTACGGTTACCCTAACTGTAGGCCATGTGACTGTAATGAGGCGGGAACAGAGGAGGGAGTGTGTGATTCTTACACAGGACGGTGTCTCTGCAAGGTTAATGAAGTACACACACATGCACGCACGCACACACACACCTATATACATACACACACACACCGATGTGAACACCTCCACCTGTTTGTATGCCTCACCTCACTGTGTGTCCTCTCCACCTGCAGGATAACGTCCAGGGTTCTCGATGTGATCAGTGCAGAATCGGTACGTTTCACTTGGATCCAACCAACCCAAAAGGGTGCACCAGCTGCTTTTGTTTTGGGGCCACAGATCGCTGTCACAGCTCCAACAAAAGACGTTCAGAGGTACACCTGTTGGTTTACATTAGTTGTTTCTTTTATCTTCTGCTGACAAAAGTGAACGATGAAGTGACAGTGAACTATGTTTTGCCTCTGTCTGTCTGTCTGTTGGTCGGTCGGTCCCAAAATAACTCAAGAACCAATTAAATTATTTTATTTATAAAGCTCCAAGTCACAACAGAAGTCGTCTGAGGGCACTGAACAGAAACATTCATATATAAAAATAATAATTAAACATTATTTATCTGAGGAGCAGACTGATTTGAATTTAACTCTATCACAGAACTCTCATCTTGAACGATCATGAAGGCGACAAGGAAAAACTCCCTCACGAGTAAGAAACCTTTAGTAGAACCAGGCTCAGGACAAGCGGACATCTGCTTCGACCGACTGATCATATTTTATTCAGTCATTGGATGTACACCTATGTAGTATGTCAACGGACAGCTTTGCTGTACCTTCACTACTAATTAATTATTTACAACGAGTTCTTTCTTTTTCGAGTTAAATTAATGCCATGTGACCGAGATAACTGTGAGGATTGTTTAATCAGTGACAGGAGACGTTATTTTTCTTTGACCCATCAGAATAAATACGGTCATTTATTTAACAGAATCAAAATTTAACATCAAAACATTGTACACTTGATTCGCTGATCTGGTTCTGATTAACAAAACTTGGCACGCTTTACTAATAAGACAACAGGACATTTCTGAAGGCATCTAGATTGATTTACTAGTGGAAAGATTTACAAGAGGAGTTATTTAGAGGAAGATGGATGAAGGAAAGACGTAGGTATTTGTTGACCAGAATTAGCACGCTTCTTTCAACACTAGCTCAAACCTCCGGTACACTTAGCGCGCGACGACTCGTTACATTCGCAGAAGATGAATCAGCTCCGGTACCGGGTCCATTTCAACGCTACCTTTCCAGCGTCTCCGGTTAAAGCGGCTGGTCATTGTCAGAAGTCGTGTGGTTTACTCCGGTAAACAAAACTAGCTCCCTTCGAGGTTGTAGGCGTTACGCCTGGGTGAGTTCACAGCAAGGCGCTGTGATTCCATCAGAGATCCCACTCAGAAGTGGAATACTTCCAGAAGACTCCATGGAAGACCCAAGAAGACTCCGGTCAAAGACTGAAGAGTCGAGAAGACTTCAGAAGGCTTGAGAAGACAGACTAGTTCCAGGAAGTGTTGACTTTTTAAAGAGTCCCCACTTCCGGTCACTTGGTACTTCCTGATTGGTTGAAACAACCAACAGGGGGTGGTTCTAGTGATGTCAGAGGGTTATTAAAAGTCAAGAGAGGGTTCAGGAGTGTTTAAGAACGTTTAGTACAGACAGAGAAATGTTTTGAAGAAGTGAGAGGAATGCAGATGCCAGTGGCAGTTATTTACTGTCTGCTAGGATTAAAAACAATACAGTTCATTCTAATAACTCATTCTCTGACTGTCTCTGACTTTTGACCGACATCACTACTCCTCATTCAGACAGAAGATCAAAATGCATAATTACTTTGTAAATAGACATTTAACTTGATTTCTAAGTCTACTGAGGTTTAAAAATCATTAATACTGTTTCACAATTGATTTAAGTGAGTGGTTTACTTTCAGCATTAGAAATGATATGAACTAACACACTTTTGATTATCAAGATATTGTAAAATAGTAATGATAATATAAAAAGAAGAGTGTTCTTTCACTTGATTACTTCAGGATACAATTAAACAGTCTCTGGATGAGCTAATTTGAATTTCTGGATTCAAATCAATGAAATAACAGTTCCTGTCCCATGAAGGTCTTCAGAGGCAGGTTTTGGTCGGAGGCCTAGTTCACTACACCTACAACTTACTAACTTTGAAATAATCTTGAGTCAAGATTAAGGTGACCAAATTTCTGACATTAAATCTGGGGCCATTTCTAGTTCCGAGACCAAAAAGAATAAAATGCTCTCAAAATGATATGAAGAAACGGGGACATATATGATTTTATTTATTTTTACATATTTATTCATGTTTAAAAAATTAATTCAAACATAGCAACATGAATGTGCCTGTCCACACACATTTCCTAAGAAAAATAAAACAAATCTCGCTCTCATAGAGTCACCTGTGAGGATCCCTTGGTGTCAGTCTTTGGAGCCCTACTCTTTGTAGTATAAAATATGTTAATTGATTAATTAATGGATAGTTGCTCCTAATGACCGGGTTAGCAAAGAGTTTGGCGATTAATGTTGAGGAAGCACCTTGACTGTCAGAAGATCAGTGGATTGGCTCATCATGTGGTCAGCATCTTTGCGCCATGCCTTTGTCTCCTTCAGACTTGAGTACTGAACTGCACTTGTTAATGGTGTAGTGAACTTAACCTGATGTCAAGACTAAGCCTAAGGTCAAAACCCTTGACCTTAAGAACCTTGTGGGACAGGAACTGTCATTTCATTGATTTGAATCCAGAAATACAGGTTCACCCATCCTGAGACTCTCTTTCTTGAAAATCAAGTGGAAGAACACTCTCTTTTTATTATCATTACTATTTTACAAATGTTGATAATCAATGTGTCTTAGTTCAAACCATTTTAGATGTTGCAGTGAACTAATCAATTTTATTAACTGTGGAACAGTGTAATGATTTTTAATGCTTATGCAAAGTTAGAATTCATGTTAAAGCTGTTACAGAGTAATTATGCATTTTCTGATTTCTGTCTTTGAATGAGCAAGTGTGCGTTTTTGCAAGGTCAGGAGTCGAAGCAGACATGTGTTGGAACAACTGCCTTGTTTTTACATCCTCTCAGACGTCAACAGGGGGGTTTTGGCACCTGTTTCTAAAACTCGCCAAAACAAAACACTCTCTGTCTGTGAGAACAGTTTAATCTGTTCAATAACATTCTTGCTGTCTTCTGACTTTTAGTAACCCTCTTACATCACAAAACACACCCCTGTCTGGTTGTTTTGGACCAATCCGGGACGATCAAATGAACCGGGAAAAGAGCTCTTAAAAATGCCGGTACTTCCTAGTTCTCTCAGTGTGGAGTTGAGTTGAGTTGAGTTCAGTTCTGCGCGGAGAAGTTCAGTTCGGTGAAGCTTCTGAGCAGTTCGGTTCTACGCTGAGAAGTTGTTTGGGAGAACAGAAGTCCAGCATGATAAGGCTCCTCCGAGTTGGATTATTGCTATTGCTGATGTGAGCTGGTGTCGGACGGAATCTCGTCACTACTTCGGACGAGTTCAGCCATCCTATGGAGATGCTGGACAGGTAGCGTTAACTGGACCTCCATATCTGCTGATTAATCTTCAGAAAGGTAATGAGTCAAGTTTCCTACCGAAGCGTAACGAGGAAGGCTGGGTTCTGATGGAGAGTGTCGGTTCTGGTGAACACTTCCCCTCACATACCATCTTTTACTCCCTTTAAACTCCCATCTTTCCATCTTTAAATTCTTCTCTAAAGTAGAAATCCTTCCAGACATTTAGAAATGTCTGTGTAAAGTGCTCATCCACCACCGTGTGGATAATTGATCATAACTGTACAGTTTTCATAAATGTCTGTGGTGAAGCAACGGAAAATCATGGCCGTATGGTTTTCCTGATTGATTATGTTGTTATTTTCATATTTTGCCAAATTAATGTAAATGTTTGATGTTAAACTTTGATTCTGTAAATAAATGACCGCATTCATTTTGATGGGTCAAAGATAAATGACGTCTCACGTTTGCATTTCATTAAATTCAATGCACGTTTTATTCAGTCCAGAAAAATGAGGAATCCGTTTTAATTGATGAATATATCTCTGCATCTGTTCATCTACATATTGGTGGCCCGTCACGTGCTCATAAATGGACTGTGTATTCGTGTAAAGATTGATTTTACGTGTTGGCATGAAGAAAAATAACAGTTGTCAGCTGTGTTGAACGCAGCGTGCAGGAGCTGCGCGCTTGGAGCAAAGACGCTGCATGTTCCGCTGGGATGTTTGGAGCTGATATTGTGGGTCATATGTCTTTTAAAGCTGAAATTGTATGCCTGTTATGTGTAATTAGAGCTGGCTTTGAGCTGTGGTAACGCTTTATTCTGTTTAAACTGTGTTCCAGACGCTGTTCTGGTCCGGTTCGGTTCTGGTACCGGCTCGGTTCTGAAAAAGTTCGAACGAGTTGTTTAAATAGCTAGAAAGACGTTTTTGAGACCGGAGCGGGACTCCGTGCAGCTGGGAGCTTATCGTTACATCTTTTTAACAGAAAAAAGTGCATTTTGACAGTTTAAAAGACAGAAAAGTTGACGGACTTGTTCAGATAAATCTAACATGCTAGTTGGGTAAACGCTTCGTGATTGGTTGGATTGGCTGCTGTGAAGCGCTCTGATTTGCTGTGAAAGTGAATGACGTGCCTACGTCATTTCCTCTCACCCCCGTGCTGCTTTGTGATTGGCGGATTCAGTCACGTGACCCGGAAATGAAAACTCGTTTTCATAGGGAATAAAATCTGCTTTTTAAAGCTGAAAAGCGCTTAAAAGCTGTATTCTGATACGCTGTTTAAGTTCTTCGAGGTCTAATTGCTAAAATTTTGCCACGTTTGAGTAAAAAATCCGTTCAGAAATGTTGGTTTTAACCAAGTCTAGCCGATGCTAGTTTTAAAGCTAACAGCTAACGACCGGATGCCACAGGAAGTCATAGCGACCCCTACTGGATAACACTAACAGTGTCTGAGTTAAAATAAATTAAGGTTGTGCTGCCATCTTCTGGAGAGACTTGAGATCACAGGTTTTCACTTCGCTTTTTAGGTATTTTGAGTGAAATTAAACGTTTTTATTCCTGAAAGGCATTTTTGAGTTAATAAACGTTCCTCATAGCTGAATAATCACTGTTATCTTGCGTTTAAAAAGCAATTAAGGTATTTATACCAACAAATCTTTTATTCACTGGTAATTCCTCATTGAGAAGGTACAAAATAAAAGGTAGAAACTTTTTAACAAAAAAGGTACAGTTCAGATATTCACAGAGTTGATAGAGTTTGCTCATTTGCTAAGAGAT